CGCACTTTGAGCGAAAAAATAACGCTCAAAAAATAATCATTAAAGTTTAAATCGTTCTCCTGAAAAGTATGTTTTTTTAAGTCGGTGAACATCGTTCTGAAATTTTGCACATATTGATACCTAAATCCGCAGGTAATCGGGTCGAGCTTTTTTTTTTATTTTATATTAACTAATATATCCAATTTTTTTGGCTAAAATCACGTTTTTGACTTCAAAGTGTTATTAAAAATCAAAAAAAAAAAAAAAACTCGACCTGATTACCTTAAGAAACATCTTAACTAATGGACATTTTTTTTTTTTATATTTTTCTGATGATCCAGTAATGAGTTATGCTGTTCACCGCAAAACCTCTTTTCTTGGAGGCGCCAACGGAGATTGGCCGCAGACGGCTTTTTTTTTATTTTTTTTCAATGAAAATTATAGAAAATATAGTTTAAGTATTGTACTTTGATATAATAATAAAATAATTTATCTAACATTAACCGTATGGTGTGAAAAAATTCATGAAAATAGACCTTTTTTTGGCCGAATTAACCATACACCCCCCCCCCCAAGTAGTACATCAACCAACTAAAAAAAATTTAGATACCAGCAGAATTACTTAAAATAGTAACTTTAGAGAGATTTTTCTCAGACGTTACAAGGTGTCCCTATTATTTCTCACATGACTGTATATTTTCGTTCGACATCTGCAGGCACATGGTGAGTTTTATAAATTTTATAAAATTAGGAGAACGCAATTTTACGTCAGTTTTCCCGAGTTGAAGTCCCCCTTCGTTAATGTTGAGCTGAGCAACTGCTGTTTTGGGCGCTGATTTATATGAAGAGAAGGTGGCAAAATTAAGAGGCATATTCTTACGGATTCTGTTTCGATCACAACAGACGGATGGTACTCAGCCGCCAATAAATACTATGTAACCATAACATGTCAGATTCTTTGCAACTCAAAGCGGCAGTTTTATCGACATCCAAATTGGAAAACGCATTCAACCATAACGCAATAAATATTGCCGAGACGGTTCAAAATATTTTAGAGGGATGGAATCTCTTTGATAAGGTTGTAACAGATAACGCAGCCAATATTGTACTTGCATGCAAATATTTAAACAAAACGCATATCCCATGCTTTGCACATTCGCTCAACTTGGTTGTTCAGGGTGCTTTAACAATAGAAAAAATTAAAGAGCCTTTCCAGAAGTGCAAAAGAATTGTTCAATTCTTCAAAAGCAGCACAATTGCGTTCGCAAAGCTTAAGAAATTGCAGAGCCTAGAAAAGGCCCGTAATCTCATTCAACAAACTGGAACAGCAGCTTTCATATTACGACGAGAACGAGAAGAACATGTTGCTAAAGTCTGGCCTAGGCTTGCAAAAAAATACCTTGGTCATGCGGTTATTAGGTCATGCATTCATTAGAGGCTTAGAAAGGGACAAATATATATACATGTACTGGGATTTGTTTGGATAAGATGGCATTATCACTTGGAATTCAGACGTTAAATTTGATCTTTAAAATTCAAATAACTTTAACTGGTTAAATCAATAAGGTTGAATACTGTAAAATTAATAGTGTATTGCCATGAAATCAGATATTTTTACCACATTTTTAAAATGTTTTTGGCTGTTCAAAGTACATATGTAATTGTTTTTAATTTTATCTTATCAGGAATTAATTTTTAGAAAGGCAATTTTATATAAATGCAGACGCAGTTATGTCTTCATTTAGAAATATGAGCGGTATTTTTAGTAGGCAACGGAGTAATTAGGCTTCTAAAATAATATTTGTATTGTTCTTATTTGTTTATAACACATAATTAGTCGCCAAACATATTTATCTTTCAAGTATTCATATTAATATTTTACGGATTCATGTCAACATTTGTAATTGCTATGATTTTGTATCGGATTGGTATGAATTCGTTTTATTTTCATATGGAAAAATTGATATGTACGAATTGAGGAGACAATATCACTCAGGTATTGTTCCGTTTTTTTCTCTGTGGAGGTTTAAGAATCGAAAATTTTACTCTTTGACCACGATATTTAATGATGCTGTATTAAAGCTTGTTTTATTACTTTTTATACCCTTGCAGAGGGTATTATAATTTTGGTCAGAAGTTTGTAACGCAGTGAAGGAGACGTTTCCGACCCCATAAAGTATATATATTCTTGATCAGGATCAATAGGGGAGTCGATATAGCCATGTCCGTCTGTCCGTCTGTCCGTCTGTCCGTCTGTATGTCTGTTTCAATACCGTTTGCGAGCTCAGTTTAAAAGCTAGCGCCTTGAAACTTTCACAGTCGTCCTAAAACATGTGTACGCAGATCAAGTTTGAAAGCCGACCCGATCGGACGTCTATATCCTATAGCTCCCATAGGAACAATCGGATATAGCTTTCACAAAAATGAAGATATTTCGCTCAGTGTAAGAGCTATTGGAATGAATCTTTCCAAATCGTATTTTTTTGTGCGTACCTTGATCAGGGTAAAAGCGCGTGCCGATCGGACGTCTATATCTTATAGCTCCCATAGGAACAATAGGGTGAAATCGGTCAAAATTTTACGTTTTTCAGGATATTTCGCGCAAAATATTAGCTATTCCCATGAAACTTTCCAAATCGTATTTTTTTGTGCGTACCTTCATTAGGGTAAACGCGCGTGCCGATCGGGCGTCTATATCCTATAGCTCCCATAGGAACAATAGGGTGAAAAATTTTAAAATTTTATTTTTTCAATTATAAAATATTTTGTTGCTTATTAATGCATGTTGCTAGTCTAGTCAAGTTTTAATTCGTAAAATCTGCAAGGGTATTAAAACTTCGGCTTGCCGAAGTTAGCTTCCGTCCTCGTTTATAAATATATATAGGGGGATTCCCTAAACTGTTGAATTGCTGAATTGTTGAAAATTCAACAAAAAATTTCAGCAATTAAGGGAACGACCCAAAATGGTTCCTGTTGAATTTTCAAACAGCTGTTAATTGTTGAAAATTTTCACGAAACTTAAAGCACGTAAAATTTGATTTATTATTGCTAGTTACTGTCTAAAAGTGTTACCGAGGTAAAAAGAACCACAAATATGCTTTCTAATTTGATTTTAAAATAAATAATGCGTACTGGTGATACTAAAATGTCACAGAGTTGCCACGACTTTAAAAAAAAAGGTGACAACTCTGGCTTTTCAGCAATTCAACAAAATTTTCATCAGCCCCGAGGCTGTTGAATTGCTGAAATTTCTGAAAGTTGACTTTGTATGGAACAGCTGATTAACAGCTGACCAAAATTCAACAATTCAGCAATTCAACAGTTTAGGGAATCCCCCTTATATGTTATTACTTTTTTTTTAAATTTAACTGAGAAACATGCACAAACGAAAAACAAGAGAGAACGCTATAGTCGGGTTCGTGTCCCGACTATCTAATACCCGTCACTCGGCTAAAGAAGTGCGAGGGAGATGGATATATAACCTTTTTTTGATTGCGCATAACTTTTTAATTAATGATCCGAATTGAAAAATGTCTTCTACACTTTGATAGGTATAAATATACACAACAAAATTGCATGTATACTTCTCGGAAATTTTTAAAGGTATGGGCGCCACACATTTTAAAATCGTTAGGGGGCGATTGTGGGCGTTAGAGGGGGCGTGGCGCTCGGCTAAAATAAACTTGGGCTGCGTAAGAAGCCCAAGAATATGTGTGGGATCTCAGCGTTCATACAGACGGACAGACAGACAGACAGACGGACATGGCTATATCGACTCGGCTAGTGACCCTGATCAAGAATATATATACTTTATAGGGTCGGAAACGCTTCTTTCTCCCTGTTACATACTTTTGAACGAATACAATATACCCTTTTACTCTACGAGTAACGGGTATAAAAAGCCGAAAATTAAGGCAACATTAATATTCGGTTTTTCCGTTTTGTACTAGAAATCGCAAAATTTATTAAGGAAGTAAACTTAATTTGACATTTTAAATGCTAGCCATTATTGCCTATCGTGTATTTTGGCATACTTTGAAATTTTTTTTTTGCATATTCTGATCCAGTTTTAGCTACTTAAAAAGGGATGGGTAGGATAAAGTCAAAAAAGTTAGCAAGGGTACAAAAAATTCTAGATTTTTTTTTAGAATGGTCGGCTAAACCCTTAGACTACCACTAGAAATCAGTTCAACACAATCCTATCATCCTGCCAATAAAAATGGATGGGTAGAAAAACAAAGTTTTTCCGAATATTAATGGGACTCACTGTACATATCATACTCTCCCGGTTGGTGAGTCTGAGAAAGAAACAAGTTTATAATGCCCTATATTCTTCTGCATCATGATTAAAAATGACAATCTCCACAATTCAAATGAGAAACGCCGGCCGGAGGTCCGTTTTGCACAAACCGAGAGTTACCGAAACACCAACCGGAAGCCAAATGGCCACGTGCTGAAACGCGGAGTCCCATATTGCCATATTTATATCCGTGTCATATTTACTTATATAAGCACATAAACACTCAGAGAAAAAACAAGCCAAAATCATTGGATAAGTACGAAATAACTCAATTTTTCATTTAAAAAACGTTTCGGTCTTAGTCAAACATTTCGGAACAGTTTAGTGAAAAATCAATTACCTAATGCGTTTTTTTCTGAGTGTACCTTACACCTATCCGATTATGATTTATTATTCGCTGATAGGATTGGTCAATTTTTAGAGCTGAATCGAATCGTAGCGGGTGTAGCAAATGGATCTCCGAATGGAATGGAGCTATTGAAAGAAAAAATCCAATTTAACTTTAAAACTTGAGCATTGGAATTTCAATGTCGCAGCCCAATTCAATTAATTGGCCTCACCGCCATTCGAACTGAGCCCTAATGAAGCAAAAATAATTAAATTGTGTTTGGATCTTAAATTGATTTTAGCCTTAAGGCTCGCATATCCTTTAAGCCGGATACAGTGAGGAGAGAAACGAACTATTTAAATGACAAATATTTATTTAGAGGTCGTTCGTAAAACTATAACAATAAAAGGTTGGGGAATGTGGAATGGCAGTTCTTTAGTGGTGGTAGGCAACAGCGGGGGCGGCGTAGGAGGTGTAGGTAGCGGGGGCGGCATAGTGAGCCACTGGAGCCACGGTCTTGACCACAGCGGGAGCAGCATAGTGAGCAACTGGAGCCACGGTCTTGACGACAGCAGGGGCAGCATAGTGAGCCACTGGGGCCACGGTCTTCACAACGGCAGGGGCGGCGTAGTGGGCCACAGAGGGGGCGGCGTAGGAGGCGTAGGCAGCGGGGGCAGCGTAGTGGGCGACGGGAGCGGCCACGGTCTTCACAACGGGAGCCACGGCGACGGCCTTGACCAGGGGCTCACGGTTCACCACGGCGTTGAATCCGTTGATGGGGTCGGCGGTGTACTGGACGGTCCTCTTGTAGCCATCAGCGTCGATCAGGGAGTACTCTCCGCGCACCACATCGCCATCGCGCTCCTCCACCTGTCCCTTGTTGTCGCCGGTCAGCTTGTCGTCCACTCCGTAGGAGAAGCGGTACTGGGGGTGGGGGTCGTACTCCTCGGCGGCCTTGACCACGACCTTCTGGGCCACGGCCACGGGGGCATGGGCGTAGGTGGCCACCGCGGGGGCAGCATGGTACACCTGGGGGGCGGCGATGGGGGCGTAACCGGCGCTGGCCACGGCGACGAAGGCGAGGGCAAAGACGAACTGTAAGGTATAATCGTTAGATTAACACTGTGGTAGGATATCCTGTGGATATGCAGGACTTACCTTGAATGCCATTTTAGAGGTTTTTTTTGTTGATTTGAGGGCTTGTTCTTTGCAGAAACGGTGCTGAGGGCTGAATGATGTGGCTTCTGGCACGGCCAGTGGTTTTATAGCCCTCGCTTGCACTTTCTGCTCAGGTGAGGCAAGGTGCTTACGCTTGGCCTTCTGAATATCATGCTCCAAATTAGCGCGAAGTCACCGCTCTGCGAAGTCAACTTCGAAGCCGGCAGAGCCGTCGGCAGAGGGCCAAGAGAGCAGATTGGCGAATGCGGAGTGCAGTCCAATTATTTAGAAAGGATTCGGGGGATTTGCGCGGGATTTCCCTTCGGCCAGGTGCCCACGTACAAATTGGGCGTTGTGAAATGATTGCATCTGCTAATAGCGTTCCGATTAAACGCAGATCTCTAAAGGATGGGTTTGGGTATGCGTCTTAATGCTGGGTGGCCTTGATTCTCGCAGATTACGTAAAGTGCGAAAAGCATATGATGAAATTGGAATGGGCCTGTGAGTTCTATGTAATTAAATTTAAATATTTTATTGAGGTCGCCTCCTTCAGGGATAATGTATAACATAACTTATTTTATAAATGTAGAAACTATAATGCTGGGTTGGGTTTTACAACTAAACAAATATATTACTATAACCCCTTCGAAATCTTAAGTATTCTGTGTAACGTTAATTGAAAAATATTTAGTACTATTAAATAATTATCAATTAAAATCTACAAAAATTAATTTCTGTCCATATTTATACAAATATGAACATTTTTATAGAATCCATTCCTGTATAACTTGTAGCTAAAGAAATTATCTAAAAAGTTATGGAATATTTGATTCTCATGTCAAACAAAAGAAAACATTTATGAAATATTAGCTTAATAATAATTTGTAAACTGCAAAATAAAAAGTGCCAGCCAAAGGTCAATCAACCTTCTCCCCGAATAACCGGCTCCTTTTAAAAGTTACATAACTTCTATGAGATTACGAAACCGTTTGAACAATATTGATATTATCTTGAGATTGTTATGAATTTTTTAAGAAGCTTACGAAGAGATCCCAAGCTTAGAGTATGGATACGATGAAAAAGAACAAAAATCTGAATGAAATACTTACTTACACTTCTGCAATAACAAAACTCAAGAACCCAGAACAACTCAATATTACCATTTTATGCCGAAAAGCTTCGTAAATTTATTAGCCACACATTAAACCGGGCCAAGCCCTTTCGGTTTGAAGCCAACCTTTCCCCGGAGATCTTTCACTCTCTCGGTGCTCACGGCTTTAGAATCTGTGGCCAAAAGCATTTGCACACCCACAGAGCTTAGCGCCACGAACAGGAAGTACAAGTTATTGCCCGACAACAATCGCAGCCGAGAAACATTAAAAATATTTCGCTGTCACCGCGAAAATACCGCTCGCTGCCACGCGGATTGGGCCAAAACAGAGCAGAGCGCTGGCAGCTTGATTTACTATAAAAGTTGTCGATCGGTCCCAGAAAAGTATCATTCGCAGCTCCAGTTCACTTCTGCAAAGAACAACCAATCAGCACTCCCAGCAAAATGGCCTTCAAGGTGAGTCATCTCGACGGGGATCCGGGATAACAGTATCCCCCCCAGGAGTTCCGGATGGAGAACTAACGATTATGCCTTCCAGTTCGTCTTCGCCCTCGCCTTTGTCGCCGTGGCCAGCGCCGGTTACGCCCCCATCGCCGCCCCCCAGGTGTACCATGCTGCCCCCGCGGTGGCCACCTACGCCCATGCCCCCGTGGCCGTGGCCCAGAAGGTCGTGGTCAAGGCCGCCGAGGAGTACGACCCCCACCCCCAGTACCGCTTCTCCTACGGAGTGGACGACAAGCTGACCGGCGACAACAAGGGACAGGTGGAGGAGCGCGATGGCGATGTGGTGCGCGGAGAGTACTCCCTGATCGACGCTGATGGCTACAAGAGGACCGTCCAGTACACCGCCGACCCCATCAACGGATTCAACGCCGTGGTGAACCGTGAGCCCCTGGTCAAGGCCGTCGCCGTGGCCCCCGTTGTGAAGACCGTGGCCGCTCCCGTTGCCCACTACGCCGCCCCCGCTGCCTATGCCTCCTACGCCGCCCCTGCCGTTGTGAAGACTGTGGCCCCAGTGGCTCACTATGCTGCCCCTGCTGTCGTCAAGACCGTGGCTCCAGTGGCTCACTATGCTGCTCCTGCTGTGGCCGCTCCCGTCGCCCACTATGCTGCCCCCGCCCACTACGCCGCCACCTACGCCGCTCCCGCCCACTACGCCGCCCCAGCTGCCGCCTACACCTCGTACTCGGCTCCCGCCGTCGCCTACCACCACTAAGAATCCTGGCTCAAATCGACATTGTACATAGAATTGTTGGCTTTATTATTACTGTACATTTATTTATTGACAGCACCAATAAAAAAATGCATACAAGTATGTAGACATATATCACGAAAACAAAGACAAGAGTGTTTTGGGTTGCTGGGCTTGTTCAGAAGTAGATTCCTGGCCAGGGACCCTCAGAGGTCGTTCACATCGTCCTGTTCGGGTTTGCATTATTTATGTGCTTGTTTTTCACAACGAGTTATGCCTTTTTTTGTGTGCGAAAAAGTTCACAGACATCATAGCAACATATCCTTGCTGAAGGACTGCTGCAGTCTTAGAGCAATGCAATTCACGCGGTGCTTTTGGTGGTGCAGTCTGGTTTTTTGTTCGGCGATCCTTTAAGGAGGCTGCCAGGGCAACGAACTGTGTTGGCCTGCTTGATGATTCCGATACCCGAGCGGATCCTGATCGCGGTCCTGATCCCTCTGTCTGTCTGAAGGGGCAGACGAATTCCTGGGCTTTGTGTCGGTCATTTCCATTTCCATTTGAATGGAAGGACTCGTCCTCGTCTACCGCAACGCAAAGAGAATCCCTTTGTTGTTGATCTGTGTAATATAAAACGGAAATTATGGGGTCATGACTTTACTTGCCGGGTGATAAATGGTCTTACAACTCATCGGGGGAGCTGGGCACTAAAGAGCAGTTTGTTTATAGTTCGATGCTGGATTTTCCCACAGCTTTCATAGGAAATTTAGGGGGAGCTAGGCATCGCACACCTGTTGTTTTTTCTAAAGAACAGTTCTCGACTCTGAACTCAGCGTTCTGGAGGGGCTCTCCAAGGTCAGAAGCTGCAATCTCAACTAGCCAACTGCTTCCCTCGACATCACCCTTTCTCGAAGCCAAAGTCCGACTAATCAAGTGGAAGATTTCTGATTTCGGGTGCTCTGCGTCGTCGATACGCAGCCAAAACCCTTCTCAACTTCACCATCGTCATTATCATCATCCAGAGAGCAGCGAACAACAATGCAAACTGACAATGCAACCGGACAAAAACAGAAAGCACAAGACCAAGGAAAACAAAGGGAGTAGGGAAAAAATCCAGAAACAAGGCCGATGAAGTGAGTTGAAGGATCGTCGAACCTCAGCAGGGGTAAACAGGCTTTCGATCTCCGGCTTTCGTATAAATAGAGACCGGGGCTCCTGGCTGGCTCATTCAGTGTTTTGTGTTGAGTCCGAGAGGTTCAGGACCAGGAGCAGCTTGCGATCGCGCCTTGGGGTCAATCAGACCAAGGAAACCATTATAAACTCACCTTTGGATAACTTTCTTCAGGATTCATCCTGCTTGCAGACCACCAAATGGTAGATATGTAGAGGTAACTATGAAGAATATTTTGAATTATCAAGGTTTTAAATAAAAATTTAAAAATTATAACTTACATTTTTTTAAATAACACAACAAATTCCACGATTTCAATAACTACATTTTTAATATTAAACCTTCTTAGTTATTATATGTGCAAGTTTAATTAATTACTTATTCATTTTTTCAGATCTTTCTCTTCTGTATCGGCCTTGCAGCTGCTCTCAAAAATAAGCCAACGAAAATGATCAGGATTTAGCTTCAAACCCACAAATCAACATCTAGTTGTTAACGATGACAGCCCGGATCCGTCCAAGAACCCACAACTAGGGCTCAATCAGGGCTCGCACCTGGCCAGAACACCTATTGGCGCTCATCACGGAACATTGAATCGTTGGAAGGCCGCACAACACCGCACTTCAGCCATCCACCACCCATCCATCCATCACCCACCAAACGTCGTCTCGGCCCTTTGGACAAAATTTACATTTGAGTTTAAGTTTAGGTGTAAACAATAAACAAAAAACAACAATAGGCTACCAAAAAAAGCGAAAAAAAATCCAATCAAGTGTTTTTATTTTGAGGGCTTATATCTTCTGGCTGATATCGGCTTATCCGTAATTGATCCGATTGTGTAGGCGATGAACAAGAACATTTCCAGAAGATTGGATAAGTTCCAAAAGTTTATTGAACTGTAGGTTTTTAACTTTTTGAAAGCTTCTGGAAATAGTAATATTACGAAAATGTGTCGATACTCGACACACCCCTAGTTTCTAATTCGATCGTCACCCCCCTTGACTTTTACTTTGCACTGTGATCTTAAAAATAGTCCAACGAATGTACACAAATATTTCATTATTATCTTACAAGAAAGGCCGCAGTGCAGACAATAATTTATGTGTATCAAGGTCAGGCCCGGCAGCAAAGCCTATAAACTATATGTGAGCCGATTGCCACCAGATATCCAGCAAACAGTCAGCAGATTTCAAAGGTGGACGCACAGGTGCTGCTGCTTATGGCTGATGGCGAGGTGGCTACTGCCAAAAATGAGACATGAAGAAAATGGTAAGTGAACTGGTTTCTGTGCAAGTTTAATTGGCATTATTCGAGTCGCCGGCTGGACAGCGTTTACTTCGCTCTGTAATTCCCATAAACTATTTCCAGCTTAACCCTTGGTAAATTGCGCTCGCCGATGATTAAGCCAAATAAATGTCGGGGCTCGAGTGCTCGAGTGTTTCCCTCGGAAATTAAGCAAACTAAATCGTAATTAACAGACGTTTTTTCAACAGTTGTCCAATAGAGACAATGTCTTCGAGTTAACCGGCCGCTGACGGTCAGCGGGCTACTGAAGTGATTACTTTTATTATTTTCAATACAAATTCGTTCCGTTGGAATTTTTTAATTCAACGCAGCATTGACCTCACAGTTGCAGTCGTGCCTGGTCAGGGGTGTTTTGCCAGGTGGAGTGGTGGTCTGCTAATTAAATTAATCCAACTTGACGGCTACTCCCCCTTCGCTCGGTCTAGCCCGTCCTTCGGGGGATTCGGATCCTGCTGCGGGCAGACATTTTGCAACATTATTTGGGTTTTAGTCGGCACTCGGCACTCGACATCGACACCCGGACACGGACACCCAAACAACTCAACCAATTTCCAGCAAACACTCGGCCCGGTGATCAATCTTAAATTTTCACCGCTTCTGTCAGAAATGTGCGTAGTCGACGACATGGGACGACATTGGCATCATGTGGCTTAGTTGTCCTGGTCCAGCACCTCTCTTCCAAATACCTTAAAACGTTGACAGGCAAAACCCAAAAGGCTGGTTGACGAATGAGGCCGAGGCGAGTGAGTTTTCTCTGGGGAAAGCTATGAAAATGCCGTCAGCTTGCACCCGAAAAACTCTGTAAATGAACCATGAATGGCGGCACTTTTCCTAATAAAATAAAATATGTTCTCGCATGGCATTTAAATAATTTAAAGATGCTGGCTGCTTTCAGGAGTTTTCTTTTTTGTTGTGTTATTGTTTTTTCTATAAAAATGTGACGAAACCTAAAAGGCCTGGAAGGAACTATATAAAGAGCGATTTGTATATTCGTGTACTGTAATATAATATCCGAGTAATTATATAATGCTTAATTAAATAGTACTTATTAAATATTTAATTTAATTTGACATTACATTACATTAACTTCAAATGATTATGCGATGTCCGAAAATATTGTAAGCAAACGTGCTTCGGTTGTCGCTATCCCAAGTTCATTCGTTTCACTTTTCAAAAGCCCACATTAGGTACCTAATCTTGTTTTTTATACCCTTGCAAAGGGTATTATAATTTTTGTCAGAAGTTTGTAAGGCAATGAAGGAGACGTTTCCGACCCCATAGAGTATATATTCTTGATCAGGATCAATAGGGGAGTCCGTCTGTTTCAATACCGTTTTCACAGTCGTCTATATCCTATAGCTCTAAAATTGAAGAGATTTTGCGCATTGTAAGATCTATTGACATAAATCTTTCCAAATCTTATTCTTTTATGCATACCTTATACGTCTCAATCCATAAGGGTGAAAAATTTAAAAATTTGTTTTTTTTCATTATAAAATATTTCCCTGTTTATTAATTCATGTCAATTCTAGTCAAATTTTTATTCGTGAAATCTTCATGGGTATTAAAACTTCGGCTTGCCGAAATAAGCTTCCGTCCTTGTTTAAACTTAAATTTGTTCCGACATTAAGAAAATTTTGTTTTAAATTACTAAAAAAATGTATTTTTTTAAGGTTAATAAATATGAAAGGGCACTTTTAAAGGTATACTTTATTTTATTCCAATTCGATGTCATAAAAAAATAATAAAATATTATAGCTTTTAGATGTTTGTTAAAATGTTTATCAGAACTTCGGATATTGGTTAATAAACCGAACTTCTAAATAACCTCGATATATTCTTACTCGAGGACCATTAAAAAATTCCTGGAACTGAGATCTAAGGAGAATAGGAGAGGTATAAAAGTATAGAATGTTGTGTAATAACACTTCCACAAATCGTAGATCAAAAATATTACACATCTATGGCAAATTAAGCACTAAAAAGTAACAAATTTTGTGGACTCATTTGAAGCATTTTGTTACGAGTAGTTACTTTGCACGTACACACAAAAAAATTTGCTTGGTAAAATTGACCAACAAAGATAGTTACGTAACTATTAAAATAGTTACGTGTATTTTGTTTTTGCTTTGGGTTTGTGTCTTTGCTAATTGTGTGTATTTTGTTGTTGTGAAATGACAATTTACTTAGTAGAATTGACAATTTTGCTGGTTGGGGCCTGTTTGACAATTATTACAGTTGATTTTACCAAGTTTTTTTTTTGTGTGTAGGCAACTGGCTTCCGGTTGGTGTTTCTGATTGTTTCTAACGGATCTAACTTGCCTGCTTTTCCCTTCCAATTTTAGCACCTATTTCGATTCGTATTCCTACGATGACTGGGTGGAATAGAAGTGAACAGGAACTGGTTTGACTCGCGGCCAGACGCACGTCAGACGAGATTGGAATCGTTCTTTTAAATCTCTAGTCTCATTGTTTGATTGTCGGGTAATGAGCTCGGACCTTTTGCACAACAATGGCGAGTAACAAATTTGTTAATTAAAACGTTTTTATCGAAAGTGAAATGAAAATAAACTAAAATTAATTAATGTGAATTGAAATCGAAAATGGGTGGCGCATTGAATTGGCCTTACGCGGTCATTGATTCCTGGAGTTGGTTTTAATACATTAGTAGATTCTCCGAAGTAATTAAAATGTATGTTCTCAATTAGATATTAAATGTCGAGATACAGGCCAGTATTTCGATGGTAATACATTTATTTTTCTTAAACTTTTTTCTCATTTTTATTGGATTTTTTATTATTAGGTATCCATGATATAGATATACTGAATTTAATTAGCTTGAACAATTAGTATTATAACATTAAATTTACCTTGAGCGGGTATTGATTTCCGATTAGTTATATTAATTTTATTATATATTTATTTGTTATACACCCCTTTTTAAGTATTTGTTTAGATCATTTCGCTGCCTTTATCACTTAAACGACGACCTTCAAATGAAATTCTTTCGTTGCCAGCCCCCGCACAATATTTTATTACATCATTTGGCCGCCGGTTGAGTCACTTTCCTGCCCATTTTGACTGCGACCATGATTGAGCACTTACCAATGCCACAATTATAGCTGTAAAGCTGAGAGCAAAAGCTTCAACCTGAAAGCTCAAACGTTAGTTGTCCATTTATCCATGTGAGGTGATCAGGCATCTTTTTTGGGTCATTTACCACGGGGAAAGAGGATAGAGGAGGAGGAGGTGTGTCTCCAGCTGTATTTATCTATTTTTTCATTTTATTTGACTGTGTGCGAGCTTGTGTCAAGTGCAATGCTGTTCATCGATCAAGCGATTTATTGGGTTACTTACATGACTTGAGTGAGCCCCAAAACCACGAACCCACAGTCCCCTGATCCTCAAAGCGCTGATCCGCGGCGAGTTGCTCGCTTAAGTCTTTTGTTTGTAACGACTTTGGTTGCTTTGTCCGCTTATTCGCCGTCCGTCTCCCATTCATAACAATAGCGAAATGGGTGTGACTCGTGGGTGCAAATCTTTTTGGGTAAATCTACCGATCGGCGGAGCGGGGGGCATGCAAATGAATTACGATCGAAGTGATTTCTGTAAGCCAAGTGAAAAAGTGAAAGAAAGGCCGGCGGAGAGACAATGGCCCAGAGATGTGGGGCTAACGAAAATTTCGTCTATAAATACAAATGCAGCGGCGGTTCAATTATTATTCAAACCACGCACTCCACAGAAGGAGGACAAAGTCTCGCTTCTTTCGCTCTGCAATTTGCCCACCAACCTCAAACACTCGCCAAATGGCTTTCAAGGTAAACCCAGGCTGATGTAACTGGCGCCTTGGCAACAGGCTAATAATATTCAACCGTTACCTTTCCAGCTGATTGCTTTGGTCTCCTGCTGCCTGGCAGCCGCCTCCGCGGGCCTCATCCCTGTGGAGCAGCACGAACAGCAACCCCAGCTGTACCAGGCCCACCAGCCGCAGCATGTGATCTACCAGAAGCAGCACGAGATCCATCCCCACGGCCATGAGGTTTACCCCGACGACCCGCATCCCAAGTACAATTTTGCCTACGATGTGCAGGATGCCCTGTCCGGAGACTCGAAGAGCCAGGTGGAGTCCCGGGATGGCGATGTGGTGCAGGGCGAGTACTCGCTGGATGATGCCGACGGTTTCCGCCGCACTGTGAAGTACACCGCTGACTCCGTCAACGGATTCAACGCCGTGGTGCACCGCGAACCTCTGGCCCACGTGCACCACAAGGTGGTGGCTGCTGCTCCAGTTCAGTATCACCACGCCCCTGCCCCTGCCCCCGCTGCCGTGATCAAGAGCTACGCCGCCCCTGCCCCCCGCCTATGTGGCCCCCACCTACGCTGCCCCTGCCTACACAGCCCCTGCTTACACCGCCCCTGCCTACACCACCCACCAGGCCGAGCAGCCACAGGAGCAGGATCACCAGCAGCACCACTACGCCAGCTACGAGTCCCCCGCCCACTCGCAGGCCGCCCACGAAGGTCACGAGTACTACCACCACCAGTAAGGGTTTGGCCACCACAGATCACCTGACTAGCGAAAGTATTATCCCGCATACATCCCATTATGAGAACTCATTTAGCTCGTTAGCCTAGTTCCGTTGTTTAGTTGTAACCCCAATGTAAATATGTTCAATAAAATATCTAAAATTTCTATGTAAAATACCTATGTAGGCAAAGAATTTGTATGACCTTACGGGGGATATAAAAAATTGAATTCGTATTTTCAGAAAAGTTCTTTTTTGAAATTGATAATAATAATAAGGTAATTCCTTAAATTAAATTAATCTTTAATTTGAAAAAGTTAAATACAATTCGTTTTCTGGCATCAAATGTTAAACCCATTCAATTAGCTTTTCCTTAGCGTTACAATACAATTTACCAAAAACCCTCGGGTCTTAGCCAGCGGAATGTCAAGGTCAAAGCAGTGCCAAACTATCAAAACAGGCGCACATACTCGAATTAATGATTCGCATTATTCCATATCAAAAGCCCCTAAGCTATCCTGATTAGGAATGTATTCGAATCGACTCGTGTTCTCTTGAGATTACACTCTCCAATAACCATCTTAAGCCAGCTTATGGATCGATGCTATTTCCCCAACCCTATCTGAATAAAAAGTGCGTATTGTACAGAACAATTGGCTTTAATTTTATGAAGTGTAAGATTTACATTTTAAGCACTTGGCTAGTGTTTCCCGATTGGTCATGATTAGCGTAAGCAATTTAACGCGAATATTTGCCCGTGCTCGATTTTCGCACTTCAATGGAGAGTGGAGAGGGGTAAATCGAGACCGGTTTTCGGGCTTGCCAAAATATCCGGTAGCAACAATCGCACTTTTTGCAATTTTAATGTCGCACACAAATTGAATCTCAAATTACTTGGGACATATCTGCTGCTATCAAGTCCGGCAACTATGTATGTATTATACAGGCTCTGACGCTGACTCGGGCCCGAAATATGTGTGTCCAATTGCCGGGCAAGAAATAATTTGCTCCACATTCCCACACAAAGGTCTATCGCAACCACATTAGCCAGACCTCTTGGCCTTTCGCTCCTCTTTGTTAGCCAGCTGGTTGGGGCTTGGCTTTGGCAACGGTTGAGGTTGAGTGCCGGCACTGGGGGGATAATAACACTAGTTTACAATTTTTGATTTTTTTTCTATATAAACGCTGGGACCCTTTTTTTCGTTTACTATTAGGTCACTAAACACGATGAAGAAAAAAAAAATTTTTTCCAAAGAATAGTTTTGGAGATATTTGAAAAAGCTAGATTTTTGACCACTTGTTTTATTAAATGTAACAGTTCTCAAAAACCGATGGTCCAAAAAATTTTTACCTGGCACCTTTCGAAAGGAAATAGATGCACCTTTCCGAAAAGGTATGGCGCTTTGTGATCGGACCAAAATTGATGGACATATAGCGTCTGAAAGTTTCAAAAAGTTTCTTTTTTGGCTTTTTTTCATAGCTAGTTTTCAAAAATTTTTTTAATAATATTAATAAATATTTCTAAATTATTTTGAGTATGCAGATCTGAAGGGCCGTTAGTCCATCAATTCGGCCTCAACTTTTTGGGACTAACGGCCCTTCAGATCTGCATACTCAAAATAATTTAGAAATATTTATTAATATTATTAAAAAATTTTTGAAAACTAGCTATGAAAAAAAAGCCAAAAAAGAAACTTTTTTGAAACTTTCAGACGCTATATGTCCATCAATTTTGGTCCGATCACAAAGCGCCATACCTTTTCGGAAAGGTGCATCTATTTCCTTTCGAAAGGTGCCAGGTAAAAATTTTTTGGACCATCGGTTTTTGAGAACTGTTACATTTAATAAAACAAGTGGTCAAAAATCTAGCTTTTTCAAATATCTCCAAAACTATTCTTTGGAAAAAATTTTTTTTTTCTTCATCGTGTTCAGTGACCTAATAGTAAACGAAAAAAAAGGGTCCCAGCGTTTATATATTTTGGCTGTAAACTAGTGTAATCGACAGCCTCGGCACTGGCCAATGCCCACCTTGGATCACATTGAATTCAACAAATTTAATTTCTTTTTCAAAATGCCCTAGAATAAAGATATTAGTTTTCTGAGCTTCAAAATTAATTATCTACATTCAGTGAAAAAATATTATCAAAGGTATGTAATTTATGACGATGTCATGTGAATATCAGGATCAAACCTTTCAGAAAATCATTATTGGGACATTTTAAAAAGATGCTCATGTAATTACTTCCAGTGATCTACAAAGGATCTGCAGTCATTAATACAACTTAGTTTAATAGAAAAATAATTTTCATTGTAACAATCATCCTAATCAAAAAATGTACTCTAACGCCGCCTGTAAAAGCCTCAAGAAACGAAAGACTTAAGCGAGCAACTTGTTTTAGTTAATTACCCATAACCTGACATATGTACCTTTGATTTATCTCTTTTGTTTTTGCCATTTATCTAATGAAGTTATCTGAAACATAATAGCTAATTTCATTTGCCAGTGGATCATTTCCCTTTTTTTAGCCTTACAGGCATTTTTATGGCACAGATAAGGGCTCAGTCACGGCCAAAAAACGAAATAGGAAGTAAACTGATTGAACTCTTTTAGAAATTATGTATTACAACATTCAACGGATTTTGCAATTTTATTTGTGGGGTTCAATTTGTAAATATGTGCATTTCCAAAAAACATGATTTCCTTGAAAATATTATATTTTTTAAAATCTCCTTCTTAAAAGAAGGAAATTAGAATTATATTAAATGCTTTTGGGCAATAAAAAAAAACGTGAACATAAAATTGAGCTCACAATAGAAGACAGATAAATAAACAATGGTGAGGTATTTGACACACTTACAAATAAGAAATCAAGTTGTACAGGTCCGTTTTATAAAGACTAAATCGGATTTCCATAAATCTAAATCTGAATAGTTTTTAAAACTTAACAGTCAACATTTAATTAACTGCATAAAGCCACTGCATCCCTTTTGGATAACACTATGCAGCATCAAAAATTTACCTCGATGGATGCTATATTTTTGGATTCGTTACGAATTCCCAATATAAACTGCGCTTTCCAAAAAGTTCCCCGACGCAAGGATTCTTAGCAAAAGAACCTCAAAGTTCGAAAAATGGTGAAATTGGCAAACTTTGCGGAGCTCTGAGAGGCAAATGGATGCATGGTTTGATTCGATGTTAAAGTTTTTTAAAAGATACACTCTTTATCTTTCAAACCCCATACTTAGAATAATTTTAGGTTTTTTTTTAAAGGAGAAACAAATTTTAGAAAACTTAGTCAAAACACATAAATGCATACAGCTGCGGTCAAAATAGTAGTAGTATTGCCGCCCTGTGTTTTTAAGGGTTTGATGTTGTCACTTTTTTTATCCAATTAGTCTAATAGTAAAATTATAATCAATACAATATTACCGGGAAAAGAACAATTACAACAACAAACTTTTAAATAAACAGGCGGCAACACTACTACTATTTTGACCGCAGCTGTATGTTTTTAAGTTTTTTGACTATGTTTTCTGTAATTTATTTATGCCTTAAAAAAAATCCTAAAATTATTCTAAGTATGGGGTTTGAAAGATAAAGAGTGTATCTTTTAAAAAACTTTAACATCGAATCAAACCATGCATCCATTTGCCTCTGAGAACTCCGCAAAGTTGGCCAATTTCAGCATTTTTCAAACTTTGAGGTCCTTTTGCTAAGAATCCTTGCGTCGGGGAACTTTTTGGAAAACGCAGTTTAACTTGGGAATTCGTAACGAATCCAAAAATATAGCATCCATCGAGGTAAATTTAAAAAGCACGAAAAATGCTGCACAGTGTAATTAAATGCAAATTCTTTTTTTATAAAAAATATATGTGTATTTGTAGGAGGCGTTCGTAAAACTATAACAAAAATGCGTTGTGTGTTCAGTTCTTAGTGGTGGTAGGCAACAGCGGGGGCGGCGTAGGAGGTGTAGGTAGCAGGGGCGGCATAGTGAGCCACTGGAGCCACGGTCTTGACCACAGCGGGAGCAGCATAGTGAGCAACTGGAGCCACGGTCTTGACGACAGCAGGGGCAGCATAGTGAGCCACTGGGGCCACGGTCTTCACAACGGCAGGGGCGGCGTAGGAGGCATAGGCAGCGGGGGCGGCGTAGTGGGCGACGGGAGCGGCCACGGTCTTCACAACGGGGGCAACGGCGACGGCCTTGACCAGGGGCTCACGGTTCACCACGGCGTTGAATCCGTTGATGGGGTCGGCGGTGTACTGGACGGTCCTCTTGAAGCCATCGGCGTCGATCAGGGAGTACTCTCCGCGCACCACATCGCCATCGCGCTCCTCCACCTGGCTCTTGGAGTCTCCGGAGAGGGAGTCCTGGACATCGTAGGCGTACTTGTACTGGGGATGGGGGTCGTACTCCTCGGCGGCCTTGGCCAGGACGGGGTGGGCGTGGGCCACGGCAACCGGGGCATGGGCGTAGGTGGCCACGGCGGGGGCGGCGTGGTACACCTGCTGGACGGGAAGAACTCCGGCGCTGGCGGCGGCGATCAGGGCGAAGAGGGCGACGAACTGTAAGGGGAAGTACACTGATTAGGATCTGTGTTCTGGGGCTGGGCTAAATCCTCGGGGCCAACCTTGAATGCCATGTTTAGAGGTTTGGTTTGGTGGCTGCTGCTGCTGCTGTTGGTTGCTGGAAGGTGAAGTCAACTGTGAGGGCTACTGGGCCAACACTCCGCTTATATACAAAGATGAAGCCATTTCTTGAGCTGCTGCTGCTGCCGTGGAATTGCCGAAGTTGCTTAGGCCAGCTGGCCACGCTCTTGGCGTAATTAGTGCAATTCATTTATGCTAAACGTGTGTGGAGAGGGGAAAAGTGTAGCATTGAAGCCGTGCTCAATCTTTGTATCTTTGTGTTTTGTCATCAAAATAAATTCAATTTATCCAAGAGATACGAAAAGCGTGCTCTGCGCCACTACCATTGGCCGAAACCAGTTGTTTCACGAAACAGTTAATGATTTAATAAATAAGTCATTTAAAAAGGAATTAACTTAGAGTGGCATAGAAACCCGTGCTTACATTGAAATGTAGTAATAGGATTTTCTGCAGTTTAGAAACTTAAGATATGGTATTCTTAAACTTATAACTAGTAGCTTTATTTTAGAATATAAAGAAAAGTGGAATTTACTTTGAACTATGTTTGGTTAGCTCTCCTCATTACAGACGAATTTACACTATGTTATTACAGGTAAAAACAATAAAGTTTATTTAATTGGTTTAAGAGTTAATACGTGATATTAAGATATATTTCTTAACAACATTACTATTTGATCAATATCTTTCCTAAAACCTATAACCTTATTAATTATACAGTATTCGTAATAGGAATTTATTTTGTAATTTTTTTTTATTCCTAATAGCATCTGAAATTTTTTTTTTTTGCAGTAAGTGAAGGGAAATATGTTCCCCAAATATCTTAAACGTCTTGGAAAATGATAATTAAAATTAACTTGGCGTAGTTAATTAAGTGCAGCTGGGTATTTCAATCGAACACTTTTAAATTGGCAGAACTGAAGAAGGTGCGTGACAATTTTTACAAGCCACCAGCTACGTTCGAGGTGATGCGCCAAAAATGAATTCCAATTAGGTGTCATCAATGTCACCAAGTGGCGTATAAAATCCAATGGCCCACACTGGGTCAGACATTCAGTGTTTTGCTTTAGCCCAAGACAGCAGCAGTAAATCAAAATCATCCAACCAACAATGGCAGCTAAGGTTTGTATTCCTAATCGGAGGATCAGCGTTCCACAGGATTACCAGTGCATATCAACAAATAAATGAAAACGGGAATTCTGTTTAATAATAATATTATCTTGGAATAAATCACTGAAACGAGTATTATTTATCCTACAGATTGTTATCGCTTTGGCTCTCTTCGCCGTGGCCCATGGCGCCGTCCTGAGGACCGCTGCTCCTGTGGCAGTGGCTGCTGCTCCCGTACCCGTTTTGGCCAAGACCGTCGAGCTGGAGGAGGTGGACCCGCATCCCCAGTACTCGTACAGCTACGACGTGCAGGACACTCTTTCGGGCGACAACAAGGGCCACGTGGAGGAGCGTGACGGCGACATCGTCCGCGGAGAGTACTCCCTGATCGACGCCGATGGCTTCAAGCGCACCGTCACCTACACCGCCGATTCCGTCAACGGATTCAACGCCGTCGTCCGCCGTGAACCACTCGCCGCCGTTGTGGCCGCCGAGCCCGTGGTGAAAGTAGCTGCTCCTCTGGTCAAGGCCGTCGCTCCAGTGGCCCCCGTTGCCCTGGCTGCCCCAGCCCCCATTGTCCGCTCTGCTCCTCTGGCTGTTACTGCTCCCCTGATCAAGTCCGCTCCCCTGGCCGTTGCCACGCCCTTCGTCCGCTCTGCCCCTCTGGCGGTGGCTGCTCCTGCCCCTGTCCTGCGTACCGCTGCCTACACCACGCCCCTGCGGTACGCCGCCCCCACTTACACCATCGCCAACTTGTAAATACCCATGGTGCGACCGTGTTAATCCAATCTGTTGTTTTGGTTTTATGATAATAAAATGTGATTTGTTATGTTTATTTTTATTGTGTTTTAATTATATTTAATATCTTTAAAAGATATTAAATAAATAAGAATTCATATTACACATTTTGTAAATAAGAATATGAACTTACTTTTCTTAGAAAAGTATTCTATCGTTAATAGTGGCGCTGAAAATAGGGAAAAAACAAATGCTGTCAGGATTTTTAAATACTCTAAATAAATAAATAAGCTTATAATACTTATATTATACGGGATAGATACCCTTTACAATAATATATTTATGACTAACTAGTCAACTTGACTCTAAACTTCTTTCTTGTCTCATCTTTGTTAGGATACCTTACCTATGTATATCTGGTTTGGAAACTTATAGCTATTATTTCGTGATATTTGCTCAAACTCTTCATAGGTGTTACGAAGTTGTAAATGTTTTATCATGTTTTATCGTTTGGTACCATATCTTTCAAGCATTAAAATGCGAATTACTTGATAGGTCATACTAATAACCAAATCTTTTAGGATTAATTTTAATATATCGTTTTGTTTGTGGAGGTTCCTAGTTCTTTGGATTCTTTAAACTTCTAGTTCCATTGAAAAATTAGTTATTATAAATATTAAAATATTCTCTTGTATCCTTGTCTTGTATTTGTTTTTGGTAGCCGTTACTGTTTCTAACAAGTCATCCGTGTAGGTCAGTTCCACACTTTCTGTTATCTTAAGCTCTCTGGAATCTTAGCCAAAAGATCGCGTTTGTAACATGATATACCACTCAAGGCAGAATAGTGAAAGCGACTGATTCGCGAATAGCCCGCGGAGGGACAGACAAAATCCGAGGGTCTCTCCCATGACACTAAGCCGCACCACATTTGCATGTCCATACGGATTGCATAAATGTATCTCTTGCCCACGGCGTGGGCAGTTGTAATTGCCCCTTTTCCAGTCGATAAATTAATAAGGTAAATAGCATAGCAATAATAAAAAAGCTCAATGTGAAAAAATGAAAAGTGACAAAAATGATTTGCCCAGCAGCGAATTAATCAATTTCAAATTGTTATTCGCATTTTGCCTTTTGCGCTTTTTCACTGGGTATAAAAAGCAGTGCTCGTGCTCCAGTAAATCATTCCACATCTTCTCTGTCTTCGCAGCAGTTAACGGATAACCAACAAGCCCACTTCCAAACCCAGAGCCATGGCCTTCAAGGTGAGCGATCCTGAGAGGACTACCTGATCCCTTCCCTTCCAGAACTGACTCCTTTTTCTCCTCGCAGTTCTTCGCTGTTCTCGCCCTCGTTTCGGCCGTCAGTGCCGGAGTTCTTCCCGTCCAGCAGGTGTACCACGCCGCCCCCGCCGTGGCCACCTACGCCCATGCCCCGGTTGCCGTGGCCCACGCCCAGCCCGTCTTGGCCAAGGCCGCCGAGGAGTACGACCCCCATCCCCAGTACAAGTTCGCCTACGATGTCCAGGACGCCCTCTCCGGTGACTCCAAGAGCCAGGTGGAGGAGCGCGATGGCGACGTGGTGCATGGCGAGTACTCCCTGATCGATGCCGATGGCTTCAAGCGCATCGTGCAGTACACCTCCGACCCGGTCAACGGATTCAACGCCGTCGTCAACCGCGTGCCCCTGGAACATGTAAAGACCGTCGTGAAGACCGTGGCTCCTGTGGCTCTGCCCGTTGCTGCTGCCCCGATTCCAGTGGCCTACCACCAGCACCACTAAGAATCTGGCCAACTGATTTGTGGAATCTGTTGTAGATCAATAAATTGTTGAATATTTGTAAGCTCAAGGAAATCATAATGCATTTTTATTAGGGTTTTACAATAAGGTGTTGCAGCTTGCGGGTTAATCTGTAAATATAAAAAATATTCATATTTGTGTTTCATTTTTGAAAGCCACGTCATAAAATCATATACCATGGAAAACTAAATGTCGTAAATGGTAGAAATTTTTAAAAGTCAATAAATTGATAAAGTTTAAATGGTCTTGATTATCAAATGAACGGTACAGATCTTAATCATTCTTGCCTTTAAAATACAACTCAGAAAGCGCAAAATATACGGTTTTAATAAGAAGCAGAGGGGGTTTCCCTAATCCCACCCTATAAACGTCAATGGAAGTGCTCATTTTACGTTACCTTGGCTCTTCCTAAAGCCCTCTCAACCATATGCACTTTGTAATCAATTTTCTGGCAGTAATAAGTCATTAAGGGACCCAAATTGATCAGGCGTTCGCGTCCGACCCATTTTACACCAATCAACGAAAATTGGGGTAGACATCCGATCGGAAAGAAAACGCATCGATCGGAACATTTCAATAAAACCATCTGCGTCGAAGGCTTATTGAATTTAATGCATGTAATGCGGTCCGCTCTTGGAAACCAGTTAAGGTCACTTAAGTTGCAGCTTTGGCGTGGCCAGAAACCTTTCGCCAAGTCTTTCGTTTTTTTTCGGGTCTGCTTGAGAATGATTTACGCGACATTATTGGGTTCGAATCGTTTTCCTTATCTGACCATCCGCCTTTCCAGCGCGGACAAGTGCAAATATGCCAAGGTACTTTAAAGGGGACTGTGAACAACGGACGGCGGACAACGGACAAAAGCGAGGGTTAAGGTCAAAGTCAGTTGGCATTGTTAATTACCGTTGGAGCGAACGGACTTGGCTGCCCATTTCCATTCCCATGTTTAGCATGTAAGTACACCGGCTAAAAGATCCACGCCAGCAGTTCAGATTTTAATGCCAATGCGCATGCGCAACTCGCGGCGGGGCCCATAAAGTTAACAAGGCGAATTACAACAATGCTCGTGTCGCATTGAAAACCAGACCAGACCTAAGGCCCAGTTTACACCGGCTCCATGAATGAGTAAACTGCTTTTGGGGCTTCCCTCTTTAAATTTATATTCGCTGGAACTATTTTATGGGCCTTACATTGGCTTCTGGCATTGCCTCCGCTGTTTTGTCGCGCATTTTGTGCGTTCTTGGACGTGTTGGATTGCGGTCTCGCTGTCCAATTATGCGACATTACTTCATTGTTGCCTCTTTGTGACAGTAAGTGCTATTTTGTCAGTAGCAGTCGCCTTAACATGCGTTCTTTCTTCGACGGCGGCCTTGAAAACGGTCGTGGGAGAGTGAAAGTAACCGGCACTTTCGGTTTTAACTAACCAGAAAAGAAGTAAAGCCTAAAATAAATGACCAGTGGATCTTTAATGCTTCCTGCACTGTCATCGTAAATATAAACTTGAGAACGCCGTAGGAACTTAAAAAATACCCTGCCTTTTGTACATTTTAATTCACAAAAGCTAAATTTATAAATTGAATGTTAGAGTTTTTGACAAATATTTACCTATGAAATAATTTTAATTCGCAATTTCAACGTAGTTGTCGAAGTATATCATACAATTTAAAAAATCAAATTTAAAAAAAAAAACACGCCGGTATCAAATCGATATGCGCATGGTAAATTTCTTGTATCGTTTTTACCTTACAATCCTGGTAAAATTTACATCAAAATATAGCTTTTTTGCCGAATTCTCTCTCTCGGAGATTCTCTGACTTCGAAAGAAGCAATTCGAAATATAGCGAGCTAGAGCTTAATGTTACATGAGTGGGAGGGAAAAAGACACATTCGAAACACTAAAATCTTGTTGCTTACATTTCGAGCGTGTCGAATGTAGATGCCGCATATCAAGACGAAATTAATACCACATAACAGTTTAAAAACAAGAGAGAACGCTGTACTCGGGTTGGTGTCCCGACTAATAATCGTAACTCAGCTGAAGGGAGTGCGAGGGAGATAAATATATTTTTTTTGATTGCGTATAACTTTTTAATGAATGGTCCGATTTGAAAAATGTCTTCTACATTTCGATTGGTATAAATATACACAATAAAATTGCATTTATACTTCTCGAAAATCTTTAAAGATGTAGGCGCAGGACACATTTTAAAATCGTTAGTGGGCGATTGTGGGGGCGTTAGAGGGGGCGTGGCGCTCGGTTGAAATAAACTTGCGCTGCGTAGGAGGCCCAAGAATATGTGTGGAAAATCTCAACCTTCTAGCTTTTGTAGTTTCCGAGATCTCAGCGTTCATACAGACAGACAGACGGACAGACGGACATGGCTATATCGACTCGGCTAGTGACCCTAATCAATAATATATATACTTTATGGGGTCGGAAACGCTTCCTTCTAGCTGTTACATACTTTTGCACGAATCTAATATACCCTTTTACTCTACGAGTAACGGGTATAATGATATTTGTATAATACAAATTCTATTGAATGAATTTTTGAAATTTCGAATATGATTTATGTAACTCATAGATATTAGTCCATTATAGTCCAAAGAATTAAGACGATTAGAACTCCCAACTACCAACAGTGAAAAGCAACTTAAATTCCATTCAATTAGATCACATCCTTTTATTCAATAACAACTAACGGCAATTATCGGGTCGTGGTCGCCTATTCATCAGCTTTTCAATAGGCGTACGAGATAAGAGGCGAAGCGAACTGGGTCTTGACGATGGCGGGTCCAGCGGCGACCAGAGGAGCGGCCTTGACGACGGGGGCAGGGGCGGCGTAGGCGAGGGGAGCGGGAGCGGCGTAGGCGAGGGGGGCGGGGGCAGCGGCATAGGTGGCGGTCAGAGGGGCGGCGCGGACCACGGGGGCGGCGACGGCGGCACGGACAACTGGAGCGGGGGCGGCCACAACGGGAGCGGCGACGGCGGCAACCAGGGGCTCACGACGCACCACTGCGTTGAATCCGTTGATGGGATCGGCGGTGTAGTCCACAATGCGACGGTAGCCATCGGCGTCGTTCAGCGAGTACTGGCCCTGGACAATGTCGCCCTCGCGGGTCTCCACCTGGGTCTTCGAGTCCCCGGAGATGGCGTCCTTCACGTCATAGCCGTAGGTGTACTGGGGATGGGGGTCGTACTCCTCCACCTGGAGTGGGGCGGCCACGGCGGCCAGGGGAGCAGCGGCGGGAATGATGCCAGCGCTGGCCACGGCGATGCAGGCGGCGAAGAGAATGGTGAACTGCAATGGTTCAGAAGAGTTTGTAAGTTTAGAGCCGACATCTTAGATTTACATAGCACTTTTTAATAAAAGGGAAACTGCTGAACTTATTATCACTCATATATCACTTTCTTAAACTGCGTTTAGAACTTCATCCTTACTTTGAATGCCATTTTTGGTTGCTTGGGTTGGGTTGGGTTGCTCTAGATACCGAAATTGGTGTTGAACTGATTTGAACAGCGGCCAACTGGGGCTTTTATACCGCCTCGATGGCACTCTGCCCGGCTTCGATGTCAGCGGCGTGCACTTGCGTCACAAGACAACGTCGACCATATCAAAATGCGAGACGCTCAAGACTAGAAGCGCTTGTTGCTGGAGCGCTTGGGGTGGGGTTGGGGTAGCGACTTGAGGTAGGACGGCGGTGGGCGGCACGCTGCCAAGGCTGAGCGGTGACAAAGCCTCGGCGAGCATAATGCCTTCTTGATTGAATTGGACTTGAGCGGGCAGCCCAGCCGAATTAATATTGGCCTCAGAAGTCGCATACCCGAATATGTACGTGCACTAGAAACCCACACCCCCACCCCCAGCCCCAAATCGATCCAGTAATAATGACGATCGGCTGGCATTTGTTTGCGCTTTCGAAAAATACTCGCTCACTAATAGCAGCAATATCGTATGCAGCGCATGCGCAAATGCATAACAACGGTTTTTCAAATCGACTGTGCACTTGCAAGCTCACCCATACCGATTTCCGATTCCCATTCCATTCCAATCTTTGAGTCTGGCCAGTAAGCAACCCCACCCCCACCGACGACCTTAAACGTTTATTTTAGGTGGCTGTCGCTCCAGTTGAACGCTAATTGGATTTCAGGCTTAACTTTAGTGCGACACCTCACTTCCGAATGCCCACCCAAAGAAACGAGCGGTGATTGCGGATGTTTTGGCGGTATTCTTGCTGAAAATCGAATTTGGAATGAGCATGACGCGACTTATTATGTTCTTGTGTGCATGTTTTTCTGGGATTTGTTGTGTATTATCAGGAGATAAGATTAATATGTGGTTCATTGGGAAATAAACAAGTTGTTGATTAGATTGATTGAATAAAATGCAAGCTTAAGAAGCAGCATCTCTAGTTTCACATTATAAAGAAGAAATAATTTAATTCTGTTTGTGCTACCGAATATGATTATACATTTAAGAAATTTGACAGATTTAGAGCCTAACGTTATTGAATAAATAAAAGATACCGCATTCATTTAAAAGTATTTTATTCAGTCATAGTGTAATCATAATGGTAGAACCGATTCTAGAACACATAGGAAATGGCATGGGGATGATGAGCGTGATGCAAGGAGGTCTTCAGCAGGGGGACGTGGGAAACGTATGAATGGGCAGGAGCTGCATGGTGGACCACATGGGTCACCGGAGCATGGTGGATGACCGGGGCAAAGGATCGATGCACCAAGGCCGAGGCCTCGGAAAGAGGCAACTTCTTCAGAGGCTGGTACTGAACCTTGGGGGCCACAACTGCGGCTTTTGGCTTCACAACCAACGCGCCACTCGAAAGTGGTTCACGGCGCACCACCGCATTGAAACCTCGGACATCATCGGCTGTGTACTCCACAGTTCTTCTGTAACCATCGGCATCATTTACGGAGTAGTGACCATGGACCACGTCCCCATCGCGAGATTCCGACTGGGACTTTACATCCCCTGTCTCTGGATCCTGAACGTCGTAGTTGAAGGAGTAGTGCGGATGGGAATCAAAGGTGTCGTCGCTTCCGGATGATTTTGCGGGCAGTAAACCAGCTTGAGCCAGGCTTACAAGAGCCACTAATAACACAATCTGCGGGTGGTCAAAAGATATACGATCAGATTTATCTCGATATGTAAAGCACATCAAGGCTTACTTGATAAAACATGATGATTGAATTTTCAGTAGAGGGTTGCGGTTTGCTCCTGTCGGTAGCTGATTTTACACAAGTTTACTTCGGCCGGGCCATCGGCTTTTATAGGCGACTCACTGCTCGTTGACCCAATGCCACAGTGCCCTGCATCTGGATCTTGACAAGGTCATCGCGGGGATCCCAGTCCAGTCTCTTTCTAGACCGCCTAATTGGCGCTGAGATGCCTCAACAAGTTTATCAGGCAATCGACAGGTTTTCTGACCGTTTTTCACTTCCATTCGGGATATAAACTCTTTCGAACATTTCGCGCAATTATTCCGAACTGAAAATCGTTTTGATATATTTTCGATTTACCTGCCAATAATTTTTGTAATTTGCTTACCAATTTAAGGTCAGCAATATTTTGGAATAAGAGTATTCCAAATATATATTGAGAGCAACACTAAACATTTCATATTGTAACCAGGCAAAACAAAATTATATTAAGAACCTTAATCCTTAAGACCCTTTTCACTTTTAAAAGTTGAGTGGTGGATACAGGGTTAGGTTGTGGGGAGATTGCAAAACAAACATTTTGTTGCATACGGGGAGGGGATTTATCCCCCTATATCCCCCCGTGGATCACGATATGTCCCGCATATATCCTCATGCGGACGTTAGATCAAAGGTGTATAATAATAATAAATTATGCATAACATTTTCTGGCGTTCTCGCGGAAAAATCAGATCCGCTAAAAAGTATGCAATAATAATTTATTGTTCGAACTTCAACAACAGATGGTGCTTAATTCGGATAAAAACATATAGTGATAATAATCGGGGTCTTAGGCAGGAGGGTGCATTTTGGTTGAAACCCATCACACACACATACCACTCACCCCTCTTGATGTCCTATGCTTTTCAGAACAATGCTAAATTTCAACTAAAACCCCCCTAATATTTGCAGCGCTAGTCATAAATTAGTAAGATTAGTAATTAAAGCTTTGACATTTCTAAAGGGAAATTCACTGGTTATCCACCATATCTAATCATGCACAAATATTTGGATTTTTTTAATGTTTCGAATTTTTGTAGACTATTTAACTCTCACCAAGAGACACAAACTGCGAATATGCCTTTTCCCCGAAGCCTGCCAATCAACAATAAAAACCGATGCCCAACCATTAATTCCATTTTTCTGTTTAGCTGTTTTGTACAAATATGTACACATTTTCCAAACGAAAACGAGGGTAGAATATTGTTTTGGATAGAATATTTGTGTAGCGGGGGCTGTTCCATAGAACCTTCCTCCGATTGGTTCACTTCAGCTGGGAAGCGGATAAAGAGAGTGTGCAGACGGTTGTCTCGCTTTAACTTTATCCGCTTCAAAAATAAAAGACTCTTGAGCCATAGGATTTTCTTTAATGCCGGTGGCTTTATTATCTTAGCCGAGGCCTTTTTGCATAATTTTGCATCTTAAACAGTCAAGGTCATTCAAGAGATTAAATTTAAGTGAATGTAATTGTCAGGACAGATACACTCGAAAAAGTATTTGCTCTGAATTTGTGAAGTTGACGTCAATAGCGACTTAATGATAATAAACTTAGGATAAAATTCAAATTTTAAGAGCAACTATATAATGTACGGTTCAACTTTTCGAAAAATATATTAGAATGACTTAACTGTTTATATTTTGTCTTTTCTTCTAAAATTTTCATGTTAATATTATATAATTTTCGGCTTTAATTTTTAATAATAGTTATTTGAATTTACATTACACTGCACTATGGGGCATTTGGCCTTTTTTTTTGGAATAAATGAATAACTAGTAAACTAAGCAAGATATTTAAAAAAAAAATGTATAGTTCTCGAAGCTTTATTTATATTTATCAACAATAAGTTCCCCTGTTTTATGAAAAAATTGTTCAAATCTTTTGAAATTTATTGGTAGTTAACACGATAAACTGATGAGGATTGTCCTCATATTAAAAATTATTTTGATGTCGACGCGTGTAATTTTTTAAAACACTGAGAGCCGGTTTCTCGAGTGCCGGCTAACATTTGTCGAACAGATAAAGTCCCTGCTAAAGCCTAGTAGGGGAGAGTGGGGGAATTTCGTCAGCATTTTTTCAAAGGTATTTTTTGTCCATCTTGAGACACGTTATCATATTTCTATTTTTATTGTTGAATGCGGTTAGCACCAAGCTTTAAAATGTGACATTCCCCTATTTTTTTAATTAGCTTGGTGATTTATAAAAAAATAAAATGTAAAACCAATATACTGGGGCAATCTCACCACACAGAGGGGTAAAATCACCACACAACTGGGGAAATTTCGTCACCTGAAAAATGTAGGGAGTTTAACGCCTGAAAATATGCTACACTGATCAAGCGTACCATTTTTGTTGACGTCCTATATTTGTTGCTGCTGCTGGTAGTCTGTTCGTTAGCCAGCTCGTCAAATATAAAAATATGTATTTAAAATAGGTGCGAATTTACCCTTAGCGTAGGGTGGCGAAATTTCCCCAGACCGTACTTTTTTAGAAATAATTATTTTTCTTGCGAAATTAGGCGCGAAGTTAAAAATCACTGACGCAGAAATGCACATTATAGCACTGTGTATTATATAAAAAATCGTGTATCTTATTCCTTTTGAATTGTGGCATACAGAAAAAATTTCGTCGAGAACTAAATGTAGCTTTTGAACTGTTAAAACACATTTAATATTATAGCTTAATTATCTTGGCCTTCTGTTCAAAACAAATGCATTGGTTGTGTCTGGCCGTCTTGAAGGACTAAAACAAAAAAATTATATATTTTTACGACTTATGGATTCCGAGATATTGCAGGTGACGAAATTGCCCCTGTGACGAAATTCCCCCACTCTCCCCTACTCAGTACGACGAAAACTGCTAGCTAAGCATAGGAGTAAGCGAGAGGCAAATAGGTAGCCAACGGCTTTAGCCGGGGACTTTTTCCCACCTCGGTACTCAGTTGAGCTAAGGAAATAGTAAGAAAATACCACAAAAATATTAGATTTAGCGGATGAACTCCGATGAACGCCTTTAGCCGCGGCCCAAAAGCCTACTACTCAGTTCGGCTAAGAGTTTTACTACACACAAAAAAATATGCTTGGTAAAGTTGACCAACAAAGATAGTTACGTAACTATTTAAATAGTTACGTGCATTTTGTTTTTACTTTGGGTTTGTGTCTTTGCTAATTGTGTGTATTTTGTTGTTGTGAAATGACTATTTACTTAGTAGAATTGACAATTTTGATGGTTGGGGCCTGTTTGACACTTATTACAGTTGATTTTACTAAGTTTTTTTTTGTGTAGTCGAAAAACATTAATCTTTTAGTGTGACCGAAGTTTTCGGAGTTCATTCGCAATGCATGTAGCATGGTCTTACTCTCAACAAACAAATCAACTGGCGCCAATTTTAAAATATTACAAAACGTTGAGCCGACCTGGGTCGCAAGCTTTAAATTCCCTGTTGGAATGGCGATATGTATTGCAGCAACTTCTACAGGCGGCTTTCCATTGGTTTTTGTGGTTTTCCTTCCATTTATACATTGTTATTGGCAAACCGCTTCTGCACAAACACAGCCAAAGATTAAATTTTTTATTCTTTGGGCCGCGGCTAAAGGCGTTCATCGGAATTCATCCGCTAAATCTAGTATTTTTTTGGTATTTCCTTACTGTTTCCTTAGCTCAACTGAGTACCGAGGTGGAAAAAAGTCCCCGGCTATAGGCGTTAGCTACCTATTTGCCTCTCGCTTACTCCTATGCTTAGCTAGCAATTTTCGTCGTACTGAGAACTATGCCAAATAATACAAAATTGAATCTTTGGCTGCGTTTGTGCAGAAGCGGTGTGCCAATAATATATTATAAATGGAATGAAAACCACAAAAACCAATGGAAAATGTAGGAGTTGCGGCAAACATATCCTCCTGCCAACAACAAATTTAAAGCTTGCGACCCAGGTTGGCTCAACATTTTGTAATACTTCAAAATTGGCGCCAGTTAATTTGCTTGCTGTTTGTGAACCAAGCTGGTTTACAATAAGACCATGCTACAAGCAAAGCGGGTGAACTCTGAAGACTTCGGTCACACTACAAAAGAGTAATATTTTTCGACTAGTGAAACTCTTAGCCGAACTGAGTACTAGGCTTAAGGCATTTTGGCTTTCTCTCAATGTGAGCGCTAACTTTGACAGGGACTCGGAGTCCCTGTTAAGCGTTTTCGGCTCGATAGAGTGACAGCTGATTTCCCAGAGCCAACTAAGAAGAAGAAACGAAATCACAGCTGACTTTTCCTTTGAATTATACCCAAACAGCTGATGAAATAATCGAAGCACGCCATTTTTGCGCTTTACAGCACAATTCTGTGCGTTAACAGCACTCTGTAATTGTTTCTCGTTCAGATAAATTAAAGCAGTCGAGAAAGCGGATTTGATTTTACGAACAGTTTATCTGGGCTTTAAGTTTTTCGAACTTAAGTTTTTCAGGGACTTTGACAGGGAAAAACTTAAACTGTTCGTAAGGGCAAATCGGTTTTATCGACACCTTTTGTTTATCTAACCGAAAAACAATTACAGAGTGCTGTTAGCGCACAGAACTGAGCTGTAAAGCGCAAAAAATGGCGTGCTTTGATTATTTTATCAGCTGTTTGGGTATAAGTCAAGGGCGAAGTCAGCTGTGATTTCGTTACTTCTTCTTATTTGGCTTTGGGAAATCAGCTGTCATTCTATCGAGTCTAAAACGCTTTAGAGGGAGTCCGAGTCCCTGTCAAAGTTAGCTCTCACATTGATGATCGAGTAAACCAAAATGTCTTTCTGAGGAATGTTAGCCGGCAGAAACCGGCTCTTAGCTATGAAAGGCTCGGCGCAGTATTTCCCACATTGGTGCTCCCGAATCCGCCTTGCTTTGGCTTTCAAAAATTAAAATGTTATTCTCTGGATTCGTAATTCTCCACTTTTTTACGATGTTTTTGTATCCAGTATGAAGTACGAACTCAAAAAATCTAATCCACCAATGGCGTGGACTTACCCCATTTTTAAATTGTCGTAA